ATAGAATATACGTCACGGTATCAAGGGACACTTTGGTTAACAGCTGAATCAAGTAACCTTGATTTCCAGAACTTACTGTTGGCAAATTCGAACAATAGTGGATTTTTGTTACGGTTTTTAGAAGAGTCAATGGGTTGCATAATGCAGAATAAAACCTATCGTAAAAAACACACAACTACGTACTTTTTCTTAGGTCTCGATTCAGAAAGTGGTGTATGTATCTATGAAGAATTTACTGACTCGCGTAATTTTGTTAATAGCATAATATGTGATATAATAAAGTGCAATTATCCTAGCCTTAAAAAAGTACCATTTATCATCCAGTTTTTATCAATTCCTGGCACAATGACGAAGTCTGAAAAACAAAAAATCTTAAGGAAGCACAAATCTACTACTCAGATAGAGGCACAAAATAAGAATAGAAAGAACATGTATAGCGCTATGAATCCTTCAACTAAGAAACGTCTTGCTGAAAGCAATAAACTTAAATACCAAGAGATGGATTCTATGCATAAGAAAAATCTTCTTGATAAAAATGTGCATAAATACAAGGAAATGGACTCTGCGAAAAAAAATGCACTCGTACAAAGTAACAAAACTAAATACAAGGAAATGGACTCTGCAAAAAAAAATGCACTCGTACAAAGTAACAAAACTAAATACAAGGAAATGGACTTTGCGAAAAAAAATACACTCATACAAAGTAACAAAACTAAATACAAGGAAATGGACTCTGCGAAAAAAAATGCACTCGTACAAAGTAACAAAAGTAAATACAAAGAAATGGACTCTGCGAAAAAAAATGCACTCAGTGAAAATAACAAAAGTAAATACAGAGAAATGGACTCTAGTAAAAAAAGAGGTGCTTCTTCAAAGTGCAAAACGTAAATACCAAGAGATGGCTCCCACAGAAAAAAATAGCCTTCTTGAAAATAAGAAGATGAAATACATGGAAATGAATCCTTTCAATAAGAAACATCTTCTTGACGATTATGCACGCAAATACCAAGAAATGAACTCTCACAAAAAGAATGCTCTTCTTGAAAAAAAGAAACTTAAATATCAAGAGATCGGTCCTGCAGAAAAAAAACGACTTTGTGAAGAAGCTTCACGTAAATACAAAGAAATCGATCCATGTGAAAAAAAGGTACTTCGTGAAAAACGCGCAATGAATTACGAAACAATGGACTCTGGTGAGAAAGAAGCTCACCGTGAAAAAAGTAGAATGAGCAAAAAACATAAGCGTCAAGAGAACAAATCAAACTTAACATTGGATCATTTCATAGCAATCTTTAACAGAAAAATAAGAGAAGGTCCTTATTTCATATGTTCGGTCTGCAATCGTCTCTTGTATAGAAAGTCTGTGAGATCTCTTAAGAGAGAAAATTATGATTCCATTCCAAACTCTGTATTCACGAACGTAACATCATTTGACAACAAAGAATATATTTGTGCAACATGTCATTTAAAGGTTTCAAAGGGTAAAATTCCTTGTCAATCAGTGTACAACGACATGTCTGTTGATGAAATTTCAGCGGAACTTGCAGCTTTAGAAAAACTTGAACAAATTCTTATTGCACAAAGAATTGTTTTTGAAAAAATAATTGTAATGCCAAAAGGACAACAGAAAAAAATTGCTGGCGCAATTTGTAATGTACCAGTTGATTGTGATCAAATATGTAATGTATTGCCACGCCCTCCCGAAAGATCTGGTATAATAATGCTAAAACTTAAATGTAAACTTGAATTCAGAGTTCATGTTTATTTCAAAGCAGTGCGTCCACAAGTCATTCAAGATGCCTTGAATTGGCTTAAACAGAATAATTATTTGTACTCCAGTGTAGCAATTGACATAAATAATATGGGTGACAATCTTAAAGAATTAAGGGAACAGGTGCATAATACACCTGCAAAAACATCTTCAAATAAATTACCAGATAATGATCATAGTGACAATGAAGAAAACGACAATTCATTAAATAAATATCGCATGAAACATGCCTACAGTCAACTCTACCAGACTATCCTGTAACTTCACAACAAGTGAATGTTTCATTGGGTAATGAGATTTACAATATTGCACCTGGAGAAAATAGACATCCTGCATCAATAATGACTCATCATGGATGTGAACCGCTTGCTTTCCCAGTATTATTTCCAAAAGGACGCTTTGGTTACAAACATGAAAGAAAAATATCGTTATCTCCAGCAAAATACTTTAATGCTTGGCTTTGCATTACAGTAGAAGATTTGCTACAAATGCAGAATATCTATTTTTTGCACAATTCCTCATGGAACAAAAGAAAGTTGCTGATAGTATTAATATAGCTTTAAAAAAGATCCAAGGGCAACCTGTTACTGTATCACAAATGAAATCAGATATAAATAAACTAAAGAGTTTGGTATGTCAAGATCAAGCATATCTGTTCTTAAGACAAATTCCTGGTACACCACTATACTGGCAGAAATTTATGTACGAAAATGTTGCAATGGTAAAACAACTTGGCATTCCAACATGGTTTATTACATTATCATGTGCTGACCTCAGGTGGACCGAGTTGTTTCAAATAGTTGCTAGAACGCTTAACCCTTAGCCTTAACTTATGCTGAAAGATGTCAATTGCTAAATGTAAATCCAGTTATTACAGCAAAACATTTTCAACACAGATTTGAAACTTTCTTTCGTCAGGTTGTAACTTCTAAGTGAAATTAACCCAATAGGGAAAATAATCACTACGCTCTTCGCATTGAGTTTCAGATGAGAGGATCACCACATTTACTTGCATTAATATGGACATCTGATTGCCCAAGGCTTACATCAGAGACAAAAACCAGTTTTGCTGAATTTATTGATCAACATGTGCAAGCTGTCCTTCCAAATGAAGAACACGAACCTGAACTGCATAATTTAGTCAAAATGTATCAAAAGCACACCCATTCAAAAACCTGTAGGAAATATAAAAACATAAGTTGTTGTTTTAACTTTGGACAGTTTTTTACAAAACAAACTATAGTTGCTGAACCTTTAGATGAAAACATTGATGACGAAGTCAAACTAAATATTCTAAACAGACGTAAGGACATTCTCTCCTTAGTTAAGCAAAAAATTGATGAAGTGTTAAATCCATCTAACATAAGTATGATGCAACTTTAACACAGAAAAATATCTTTAATTCAGTAGGTATTACTGAAGAAGAATACTACAGAGCACTATCAATTTCAGCAGACTCTGATTTTGACCTATACCTGAAACGGCCAGTAGACAGTTGTTTTATTAACAACTACTTTGTTGCTAGTATCAAAGGATTTGCAGCAAATGTTGACTTACAACCAGTTTTCAATCACTACAAATGTGTGACATACGTTTGCTCCTAGTTCACAAAGGATGAAATGAGTGTTCCCAAGCTATTGTTAACGCAGCAAAAGAAGCCAAGTCATCAAATATGAATGTCAGAGATGGGTTGAAAAAAATTGGTGCTGCTTTTTTTTCTACAAGGGAAGTTAGCTCACAAGAATGTGTGTATAGATGTATACCTGAATTGTGGTTGAGAAAAATCCCCAAAACAATATTTGTTAGTACCTGAGAAGAGAATACGTGTAAGCAAAACTGAAAATGAGCTTGATGAACTTGATGAAGAGAGCACTGATATATTTAAGTCTAATATCATTGAATGTTATAGTTTAAGACCAAATTGAGTCCCATCTGTCGATGCCTTATGTTTAGCGCAATTTGCTACACTATATTATAAGGATTATAAACGAGATGATGCAGAGACAAAAGATTCTCAACCTAGTTGTTTAGATGACGATCTACTTGAATCACGTAACTCAACTCTCGATAATGTTGATACTGGTCTTCCCGCTAAAATAAAATTAATGAACAAAAATGAATAGATGAAATATAGAAAAGTTAAAGCTGTTTTAAGATATCACACACCAAACAAAACAAAAGAACCAGAATTATACTTTCATCACTTGCTCATGTTGTATTATCCATGGAGAGAAGAAACAGAGCTATTATCTGCAGATCAAAGATATTCATCTAAGTTTCATGAAGCTGATGTTCAAGCTGTCATTGGAAGAAACAGAACAATGTTTGAACCTAACACAGATGCAATAACGAATAATTGAAACGAGTCAATGAGAAGCAATCCAGGAACAAACCATTCCTTTTCATACAACTCAATAAATGATCAAGAAAACTCTGATATTCAAGAAGAGGCACCAAACGATCTAAATCCTGACAAATCATTCAATGAACAGCAGCCATCAGATTTAGGCCAAACACAACCATGTCAGCCTTCTTCTGGAACCATCACTCACCACACCCAACCATCAGAAATTTCTGATGACAAACTACATCAATCAGTTAGATCTTTGAATCCAGAACAGAGACGAGTCTATGATATAGTTCTGTCTTGGTGTAGAAGATTAATAAAAAACATGAATAGCTTGAAACCCATTGAAATAGAACCAATCTATCTCTTTCTTCTTGGAGGTGGCGGTGCTTGTAAAAGTCATTTGATAAAAACTATATACCACACAGCAGTTAAAACGTTTAGACAATAGACATCCTCCATTTAACCCAGAGTTACCAACTGTTTTATTAATGGCACCAACAGGAGTTGCGGCAATAAATATTGATGGAACAACTATAAATACGGGACTGGCTATTCCTAAAGAAGCTAATGATTACATTCTGCAATGTCTGATCAAAGGAGAACACAGTACAGACTCACTTTGAAAGACGTAAAACTTATTATAGTAGATGAGATTTCTATGGTGGGAAACACAACTCTTTTACACATCCACCAACGATTAAAAGAAATTTTTGGATGCTCGTCTTCCACCTCATTTGCAGGCATTAGTATAATAGCTGTTGGCGACTTCTATGAACTTCCCCCCAAAAAAAGAAAGCAGTGTTCGATAATTACAAAAACCAAGTTCAAAATCTTTGTCATCCATGGAGTGTCTTTAAAATGATTGAACTAACAGAAATCATGCGACAAAAAAACGATGAAGCATTTACTGAACTCCTCAACCAGATCAGAACAGCCTCCCATACAGAAGATGATATTAAAGTTATTCAGTCAAGATCCATTGAACCATCCGATCCAAACTATCCATCTGACGCACTTCATATTTTTGCTGAAAATGCTCCTGTTAATGAACATAACCAAAAGAAGCTTGAAGAAATTCAAAGACCTCTCTTTATTCTTAAAGCAAGAGATCAATATCCAAAAAACATCAATAAAGCAGACATTAATAAACTTTTAGCAAGAGGACGGTCTGACACATGTGGACTTGATTATGAAATACGAATTAAAGAAGGCGCCAGAGTAATGCTTACTACAAATATCAACATACAAGATCGACTTATCAATGGTCAAATTGGAACGATAGTTAAAATTAATATTAATTCCAATAACGAACCAAATGTTTTATATATTAAGTTTGATGATGAGAAAGCTGGTAAAACTACAACAAACACTACTGCCAACATATTTGCAAGAGAGAATCATGTTGTACCGATAGAGCCTGTTCTTGCAAAATTCAAAGTTAGACCTGGAAAAGCATCATCTCCAGAAATACAGAGAGTACAATTTCCTATCGCACTTTCGTGGGCCTGCACTGTTCACAAAGTTCAAGGTCTTACTCTGCAAAATGTAGTTGTTAGCATGCAGTTGAATAAACAAAGATATTTTAATTATGGTCTTTACAAGGTTTACACATCCTCGGAGAAATACAAAGTAAACACGTTAAGGCAAATCCTAAAGTTGACGAAGAATACGAGAGACTTCGAAACGCTAGTGATTTTATAGAAAGTATTAGGGAGAATGAAAACTCACATTTTACTGTATCTCTTTTAAATGTTAGATCCTTAAGAAAGCATAATAAGGATATCAAGTCTCACTGTCAATTGTTTAAATCTGATGTTCTTGCATTTACTGAAACACAACTTTTACCTAACAATTCGTTACATGAAATTACAGAAAACTTAAAACCTTTCAAAATATATCGTCAAGATCATATCACAGACAAGTATCTAAGTATGGCAATCTGTATTAGGAGTACTTTGGAAATGGAGAATTATCAATATATACCTTCGATAAATGCGCTAAAGTTTGATCTGCTTCATACTGAACAACAACAAACACGTTCTTTTCTTTTACTGTATAGAAAAAACAACTCGAATGTTCCACAATTTTTGGAAGCATTGGAATATGTCCTTCGTAATTCCAACATTCACATGGTCTTAGGGGATTTTAACATAAACTATTTCAATGAGAATCTTTCTCAACCACTTACGCTTTTGATGAAGTCATTAAACTATACCCAAATTGTTACCGAACCCACATTTATTTCCTCTGGTAGTTTGTTAGATCATGTCTACATTAAAACAACTTCCTTACAAATAATTAGGAATTCCGTACTCAGTGTTTATTATTCTGATCATGATGCTGTCGTTACCTGCATAAAATACTAAATAATTACTTTATAACAAGTCATCGTATATTGGAACTGTTCTATAGTCTTCATTACAAATTAAAATGGTCAGCACACATTTAACAGATTTTTACAATGTTACCTTAGAATGCCTGTGTATATATGATGCCAACCACTCAATCCAATTATTACATGTACAATTAAACAATGTTATAATATATACGGAATATATGGACACAATATTTTAAGTTTCTCACAGTTTTGGTTATTTTGAATAATGTAACTAGCTTTAAAACATGTGTCGGTGTATGGAAAATTTACCGTTATTCAGTTACCATGAAAAAAAAGAGAGTAAAGCCCTTGAAATTATTTGATTCCCCGTACATTACTTGTGGGAAAATCGAAATCGTTTTCAAAGCATTTGAAAGACGGTGGATATAATTCTACAACCAAGAGGTAAGGAATATTCTGTGCCTTAAAATACACTGTCGCTGGTTGCTTTGCTAGGTTCACTCGATATATGATGATTTCTCAACCGTTTAATGGTTTAATTTGAGATAAAATCGTACACATCTCAAATTTAACCATGACCGATTGAGAAAAATGAATCAAATCTATCGGGCTTTTTTTCGACAGGAATGAAACCTGTTTTAACTAGGATTTTAAATGTAGCTATATGATTTCCAGTTGCAACTGTTAACTTTACCAATTAATAGTAGCCTTATATTTACTGTATCTTTTTGACATTAAACTTTCCTCATGTATCATAGATAGAATATTATACAAGAAACCATGGCTGATAATATAACCAAGACTTACTGATGACTAGTGCTGATAAATTCCGTATAGTGTTACATGACGTATACAACTTAATGGGTAAGATATCCTTTATGATGTATATGATTTGGGCTCTATGTGTCCATAATCCATATATCAGTATATATCACAATAGAATCCATAGACTCAAGGTTTTCCGATTGGGTGCCACTAATAGTACTAATTAAACTTCTTTTTACGTCTTAATTATCAGGTTCAAAGCAACTAATAATCAAGGACGTCCATGATGAACAGAAATGTTTGTAAGATATAGCGTTATGTGCTCAATTCTCACCACAAAGTTTATCGAAACCATTGTAATTCTCAATAAACACACCGTCGATTGGTAAAGAGTATTTTATACAGAATGCTACCCAAACAGCAGATGTGTAGCAGCGTAGCTCCTCCTGATATTACGACGATATGACAATAAGGTTCAATTTGGAAAGAAAGAAGCCAGGATCTCAATCAGGAATTTTGTTTTCAAGTCTGTGAGTTAATCTTAATCTTTATGAAATCAATCTAACAGTTGTGTTCACAGGCAACATTTTATACTTAGTAGCTACGCCTATACTGAATTCCGAAACGTGTTCTATTAAAAACGATGGAACGTGCTTGTCAGTGCAACGACTTTCAGTTCAGAACTAAGTTACATAAAACGAACTGTTTTAAATTCAAACTGTAAATAAAAATTCTTGCTTTTTCTTTATTCTCTTACAATCCCAAGGTCGACCTTTTCTGCTCTCTCTTCTAGCACCTTTACATTACTCTGATAAATATTACGTTTGTGATGTCCTCTTTGTTATATCGTATGACTAAGTAACTGTGTGTCATTTGTATAAAATGTGACGTGTGTGAATACTCTTATATATGTTCTTTTTATTTCGGAATAATGAACACGTTCACCAGCTTCCCCGTTGTTTATACCATTATGTGTGGAATACTGCAACACCAAAGTTATCGGACTCATTGCCAACCTCGAATATGTAAAAATGCATCTGGATTACCAAAGACTCGTTACCACCATAATAAAAACGTTACGTATGATAGAAAACTTAAACTTCCAATCTACCAAACAATACTGGCACAACAGGTGTATACCACGTTATCTTGCACAGAGATCATGAAAATTGCTCCATTTTCCTGAGTGCTTTGACAATCCAAAAAACAAGTTCAATGAAACGCAACAAATATAATCAACATATGTGGAAGATCGACTTTCGTGACAATGATTTCATGCAAACGCAAGTTACACCTCAGGAAAATTATGAAAATTAAAAGGCAATGGAATATCTCACATTTGATTTTACTATGGCTTATGGAATCATCTTGTTGCTTCAATATCAGTAATACACAGATTTCCAAAGAATATTGCTGCACAAAAGATTGACGTCTCTCAATCGAAACGCCGAGTCGATATTATTAATTAACTCCATATGAAATCAACAATTTTCAATAAAAGGATCACTACTCGACGATGTCCATCAATATACAGACATAAAATGCGTATGAGAGCCAACGATTATTGCAGAAAACTATGAATGAACCTTTTCTCCTCATTCCCAAGGTCGACCTTTCTAATATTCTCTTCTAATATTTTTATGTTAATAAAATGTCTAACATGTTTGTTATGTGTTGTCCTGTTCGTCCTCACAGGAATGAGCAAAGCCAGACAAATTTGTCTGATTTGTAAATGTGACGTCTCGTACGTGACATTCTTCTTCTGCATCTATTCCCTTTCCACTCTCGTTTTGCTATTCAACTTTGTCATTTTGTCACTTTTGTGATACCTGTATGTGTCAATTTTGTGATTATGTTTATTTCAGTGTCTTCCTAAATATCTTTAACTCAAATCGAAATTGAATCCAATATCCACTAATTACAATTAAAACCAATGTAATTATGAATATATTATATCACTATTCTTAGAACTGAACAGAAACATGTATACCAGCTTCCATATTACTTTTACCTGTAAATTGTCTAATACTATTAACTTACATATAATAAAATCGATGATTATGTATATATCAATGGTTTCTTATCAACAAAAGTTACTTTAAAATACCATCTCAAATCAGATTTGAATCTATTTAGAGGTTTTAATAACACAAAGGTTCAAATATTTTTTGCAAAAAGACGCTCAACTTCCTCATAGAGGAAGAATCTAATACACTGTATTAATGTGCCACCTTAATCTGGCACTTCTACTACACTTTTTAATTCTTTTTGGATTGTTTTAAAGGTTTTCGATTTTTGGTTCCAATTTTCTTCCCATATCTCACCGAAAAAGAAATCTCTCCGAAAATCGCAACAAAAATTGCAATTGTAGCAGGGGACAAAACAACACTAAACAACAAGATCTCCCCAATAAAAATACTTAAAATGAAAGTATAAAGAACATTCTTGCTGACACGAGCTTTAATGGAACCTCTCTATTAACCCTGGTGAAAAAAGACACCTGCTTAGGCGTTAACTCCGGCTTATGTGCCGCGCCAGTGCCTGGGCCAACAATATAATAATTCTTATATGCAATGTTCCTGAAAAGAAATTATTATATAGCTCACTGGCCAGAATTCTTGTTCCCAGATAATTGGCCAGTGATGACGTCACGGAAATTTAAAGCATGCGAAATGAGGCCGAATAGAGGCTAGTTTAACAATCGAATGCTCGATCCGCATTTTTATTTTTTTATTTTGTTTAAATATTCGAGGGATTGAGAAAGTTTTGTGCAATTTTTTTTGTGAAAGGTGAGTTACTTGAAATGCAAGAGAAGATTCTTATATTTGTCAAAAATTTGAGTTAAACTAGCGTATACGACCAAGGTGTATTTTATGGTCGCTCACCCCACGTGTTAGAGGTGTACGTATTAAGAATTAAGAAACAAAACGTATTCATAAGTGGTTTTTCTTAGATAGAGATGATTGTTAGATTGGAAGTTTCATTATAAGCCATGGTGACCTGTGTTGACAAAATAAAGAAGGTAATCTTGGTTAAACCTTAAAGAAGAATAGTTGAGGTGCTTGACATGATTTAAAATATTTCACTGTGACATTAATATACTTACAGATTGAGTTGCTGTGTACCAGTTATTATCTGAAAGCATCACCAGGCACTGGTTTGTTACAGTAGCTAGTCTTGATAAGAAAGATCCCTTGCAGGATGCACAATCCGTTGTGACCGAGTTGACAGCTGTTTGGACAATGGTTGACTTACAGAGGAAGCACTTGCGTGCGTACTGAAAGTTCTTTATTGCCAATACGGCCGTTGTGATTTCAATCTTTGTAGCGAAAGTTTCCAGATTAGCAATGACTTCTATTTTCTCTCCAGGCTGAACCTTGATGGTTGTCTCAAAACTGGTGGTCAGATTCATTTTGCCATTGAAGGTAGTTGTTACCAAGTTTTCAAGAAGGATAACATCGTCGGTGTTAAATGAAACTTTTTGTGCTCGTTATCTCCACAGGACCAAGTTCATCTGGCCGGTCTCATCAGCTAAGACGACTTCGCGTTTGGTTTTCGTATCAGGAAACGCACCGACCTCGTATGGTTCTTCAATCTT